AAGTGAAAATAGCACTGAACCTGCAGTAATGTGTTACTAAGGTGGCAAATTGTAAACAAAGTAGTATTTTGACTTCCATGCTAACATTAATTAATTTTCATTATAGCAATTGCCAGCATAACACAATCAGCATTAGACAAATTATGTATAATTGGCAAAATTGTTTATTTTTGAAAACTATTTGACAGTGGTCTTGAAGTATTTGACCTTTGAGATTCAAATTCTTATTGTACAAAACAGATACCAGATATAAAAATCCCACTAATAATCATCCGGAGATGGATGGATAAAAAGCTGAACAGTTTTGATTGTCCTCATATCATTGTCCCGGTAGATTTATTATACTATCTGATATTCTGAAAAAAGCAATTAGTCATAATTATAACATTGTTTAGCAGACATTTTCCATTTCTTAATCTGTTACAGTAATCATTTATGATGTGCTTTGAATATACTGTTGTTTTCTGTCAATTTACAAGCTACTTAGTAACCAATCTAAATTACTTTAATAGAAATGTCATCATGACAGAGCCATACAAACAATTAGGCAAAACTTAAAAATATTCATATAAATGTGCTGGCTGATCTATTTCTGCATTGGTCGCATTGTTACCGGCAGGTCTAGAAATGCTTAAATTAGCCAAAAATATTAACGTCAACACGCACCTCCAAAACTGTACTTTTGTTACTTGATGTGATTTATTTTGTCAATTACATAGCAGTGATAATGACAAGAGCTCGCAGATATGATAGCAAGCTCGACTAACTAAATCAACGCAGTAAAGGAAGACAAAACTATGAAAACAAGTGCCACTGCCGGGCGGGGACTACGCTCGTTTTTTTCTTTTCCTAAAAGCAAGGAAATAAACGGTTAAAGGTTGTTTTTTTGTTTTAGCCCACCTTTCACAACGTGACAAGTGGAGCTTTTGTGATCGCATTTCGTCCGGCGTCCGTTATTTTTTACTTTAAAAGACATCTCCACATCAACCACTAAGCCAGTTTCATCCAAACTTCACAGAAATATATCTTTGTGATCACCTTTGAAAATTGTTTAAAGAATTTAATTCCATGCAGAACTTGAACAATTTATTTGATGCAGAACTCTGGTTGCCATGACAACCAAAAAAACCAACCTAAAGAGCTAAAGCTTTGACATTTGGCATGAAATATCTTCTAGTTGAAGTCGTATATACCAAGCCAGAGCCATCCACATACGATATACGAATTGTATTGTTTGTGAAATGTTTATTTAATAAATTGTTGTGTTAATCTTAATTTCAGGTGTCCGTATCTTTTAGTCTTTGTGTCCCTATTTTCCCTTTTCAGGTGTCCGTATCTTTTAGTCTTTGTGTCCCTTTTTTCCCTTACATACATACATACATACATAAATACATACATACATACATACATACATACATACATACATACATACATACATACATACATACATAGGCAGCTCTTCATTTACTTCATAAAGTCAGACTAAAAATCATCAGAAAAGAACATGCAGGATGCATCGATATACAGTGCAATTTATAATTTTATGCACAGTATCAGACACACAGGGAAATCATGTAAAATAGATTAAATATGGATACATTTTACTCGACATATCAATTTCTTATTGATTTTTGTCAACTGATGATCAATAGAATCGTTGATACGCTTTCAACAAAAATGTAAAGTAATTGGTCTTATATTATTTTGACATACAAGGTCAATGTGACCTTTACTTTGACTCCATTTAGAATCGTAAGAATGATGCTATTTGTCTTTGCATATTTTCACTGAGATTATCTCAAAGATTGTATTTTACAAGATATGTGTGTAAAGCATGAATGTCCTCTACAGGCAGCCAATTAAGTATATGGCCAGGTCATTGTCACTTTGACTTTTGACCCAGTGACCCCATACTGACATGTGTAACGGATACATATATTCTCCCTACTTTGAAGACAGGTATTATTAAAGTAATGTTTTAATGAGGAACACCTATGAAGTTTGAGAGCCTTGAGACAAAGTTGAGAGTACTTGACCTTTGACCCAGCAATCTCAAAGTCAAAACGGGTCATCTATTTGGCAAGACCAATACACCCGTAGAATTGGAAGGCAGAGAGCTCATAGGTAGGTATCTCATAGGTAGATAGAATTTGTTTGATATTGTTTTGACATACAAGGGAAATATGGGTTGTACATTTGATCCCTTTACCCTAAAAGCAATAGAAATTTTTGCTTGCTAAGACCTTAATGCAGCTGTGCAAATTGAGGAATACTGGCATATAGAATTGTGACGTCATGATTAAAACTCTCGCATACTCGCATCCTGTCTTCAGATGGGTTGACATGATATTGAACAAGACTACAAAGTTTAAAAACCATATGTCAATGGACATTGAACATATTTAAGGTGAAACGCAAACTTTAACTTACATTCTGAGTTGAAAAAGGGGCATTATTTTGACAATATGCTTGATAAGGATTTACCACCTCATGTCAACAGGCTGCGAACATGATGGTGAACAAGTCTAGAAAGCTTCAATCTATATGTCAATTGACTTTGTAAAAAATTGAAGTGGTACTCAAATTTTAATGTAAGTTCTAAGTAAAAAAGGGACATAATTCTGTCAAATTGCTTGATAGAGTAACCTCCTCCTGTCTATCCGTTAGGGACATGATGGCTAATAAGTGTGCAATGTTTCAAAGTCATATGCTAATTGACTGTGAAAATATTTGAGGTGCTATGCAAACTTTAACATAAATTTTAAGTCAAAAAGGGGCATAATTATTTCAAAACGCTTGATAAAGTAACCTCCTATTTATTTGTTAGGGACGTGATGCTAATTTAGTGTACACAGTTTCAAAGCCATATATTCAATGAATTTACTCTAAAACGATCACAGGTGGTATGCAAACTTGACCTTAAATTCTTCGTCAAAAAGGGGGCATAATTCTGTCAAAATGGTTGATAGAGTTACCTCCACCGATTACAGGTTGTGGTCATGATGGTGAACAAGTGTACAAAGTTATAAGCCATATGTCAATGGACTTTGAAAATATTCCAGGTGGTACTCAATGTGTACCGTAAATTCCTAGTTAAAAAGAGGCATAATTCTGTCAAAATGCTATATAGAGTTACCTCTTCTAGTCTACATGTTAGCGTCATGATGCTGAACAAGTGTGCAAAGTAACAAAGCAATATGTCAATGGACTTTGAAAATATTTTAAATGGTACGCAAACTTAAGCGTAAATTCTAAGTAAAAAGGGGCATTGTTATGTCAAAATGCTTGATAGAGTTACCCCTACCTGTCTGCAGGTTAGGTTTATGATGGTGAACAAGATTTCAAAGTAACAAAGATATATATCTATGGACTTTGAAATTATTTGAGGTGGTACACACACACTTTAACATTAATTATATGTCAGAAAAGGACATAATTGTCTCAAAATGCTTGATAGAGTTACCTCCTCCTGTCTACAGGTTGTAATCATGATGTTGAAAAAATGTGAAAGTAAAAAAGCAATATAAAAATAGACTTTGTTAATACTAGTATTTGATGTGGTACGTAATTTTTAACCTAAATTCTAAGTCAAAAAGGGACCTAATTATGTCAAAATGCTTGCTAGAGTTACCTCCTCCAATCTACATGTTAGGGTTATGATGGTAAACAAGTTTGCAAAGTTACAAAGTCATATGTCAAAGTAACAAAACCATATGTCAATAGACTTTATAAATATTTGAGATGGAAGTTATTTAACAATTGGTCATATATTCATGTGACTTTATTTACTAAGTTAATGAAAAGTTTTATTTTAACTATAAAATAAAAAAGATAAGGAAAATATTAAAAATGGATTTTTTTTTTATTATTATTATATATATAAGGTTTTTTACCTTAATTAATTAAAAACTTATAATTCAATAAGAATAATCTATTTCAATACATGAGGTGTGTGAAATGTAATAATATAAAAATAAATAATTCAATATAAAATCTCTTACCTGTAAAATATTTCCAATGCGAATTCCAAGTTATCCATTAACTTCCGGTAAAAAAACTTCCTTAAATTATTTATTCTCTTAAAATGTTATTTATTTATTAATTTATTCATAAACTAGAAATTTGTCCATAGGACACGGGTGCCCCCACCGCGCCACTGTTCTGTCAATCTTTTTACTATGTCAAGGGAAATAACTCTACAAATACTGGATAAATCCACAAGCAAAACCCCTGGTGCAAATCTCATTATGCTGAGCAACCTGCCCATAAGGTTTTATGTCAAATCCTTTTTGAGTTACTTGCGACACAAGTTGAAAATTGCAAAAAGAATTCTAAGTCAAGGGCAATAACTCTAAAAATACTAAATAAATCCAGATGAAAATACCTGGTGCATAACTGCACATGCTGATCAATATTCCTGTAACTTTTTGAATTACATGCGACAAAATTTGAAAATTGCAAAATTTTACTAAGTCAAGGGCAATAACTATGAACATACTAAAAAAATCCAGACGAAAATACCCAGGTGCACAACTACACATGCTGATCAGCATTCCTGTAAAGTTTCTTGACTCTAGGTCAAATACTTTTTGAGTTACATGCGACACAAGTTGAAAATTGCAAAATTTTACTAAGTCAAGGGCAATTACTCTGAAACTACTAAAAATATCTAGACGAAAATAGCCAGGTGCACAACTACACATGGACAGACGGACGGAAGGACGGACGGACGGACAAGGGTAAATCTAAATGCCCGCCACTTAAGTGGGGGCACAAAAACTGTCACTTAATTAAACTTTAAACAGAAATAAATGTTTATAAATTAAATGACCAAACTATACAGTACATGCACATGTATAACGTTGAAGAAATCGCCATTTTGTTTTTGAGTGTCCCCTTTTAAATTGTTGTCATTTAAAAGTAATGTCTTCAGTTTATGTACAATGTTATCCTTTTTTATTCTTTGCTTGGTTTTATTGTTTTGAACTGAAACTCCTTACAGTAGTCGTCTTGTATCACATGAAAAGTTTGTGAACTCCGAATATTTTCTCTAACACGGTCAAATTCTGTTTCCGGTGTAATGTCGACCATCGTTACTGTAACTGACTGCGGCAGATTTTCCAGCACGGTAATAAAGTTCTGTAAACTTTCTGCAGACATTTCTATAAACCACAACTTCACACGTTCAACATTCAACATGTCACGTGACAGCAACAATGAACTTTCATCTAGATTGATGTGCGCCAACCTAATATAAACTAATGATGGGGTTGATATATTTAATTGTAGCCTCCGAGGTAACACCCACAAGATTAACTCTGATAGAGTTGAATGTTGAGACAAGTCCAAGTTCAATATCTTACAATCACGGCGGCCATGCTCTTTACAGTCTAACGTCTTCAATTTTAACTCTTTCATTGACTTTTGACCGGAGATAAAATTGAAAAATGTTTCCAGTATTTTGTGAGATAACGTGAACTCGTCAATATGTAAATATTGTAAGTTTTGTAATCGCCCCAAATTTTCACTCAGATCTTCTTCATCATTTGTCCATTTACCACGACACACAGTTATGTACTGTAAACTGGGAAACAATATCCAGTTTATCTCAGCCTCCATCTCCCTGCTGTCACCGTGATAGTAAAGGTTCTGTATATGACTGAGATCTGTGAGAGAGAATAAATCTATAATTTCACGTAAACTGCTGGGAGTAAAGCTGATGTCTATATCAAGTGATTTTATGTTGGTTTTATTTTGTTTTAGCAAACGTTGTAACTGCTCACTGTGCACGGTGTACTTGTCAATGAAAAAATCTTGTAAACATAATTTAATATTTTCGCTTTCAGGCATTTCTTGTAAACATGACATGAACATTTTCTGTATGTTATACAATGGACTATTGTACATGTACTCGCCACCTGTCCTAGTACTATAGTCGCATGTTTTCTCGTCTTCATTTATCACAGACATCCAATCATTTGATATTTCACACATCCAGTCAGCATTCATTCCACTTATAAATTCACAAATGTTTGACATGTCCAGAATATCTTGAACAGTTCTACATTTTTCTAGAACACCGTGAGAACTAACATATATGGCAGCAAAGAATTCTTGCACTGTTTTGTGAGAAAAAAATACTTTGATAATTTCTTCGATTAAAGTTTTACTTCTACTTTCTGACAGTATTCCTGAGAGAAGACTTAATTTTATGTCGTCTGCTTTGAGATGTGTTTCAGCAACCGTTCCATCAAATACCAACGCGTTTTCCATTGTTTCGTTACATAATGTTTGGTAAGCTAATTCTGATAATGATGTTATAAGACTGTAAAACTTATAACAAAATTCATACCTTTTAAAGTATTCTGGAATTTGACTGGTAGACGATTCACGAGATGGTTGAACTTCCGGGTGTTTCTTTGATGTTCTCGATAATAGAAATTCAACGATGTTGGTGTAAATTTCATGTTTGGAATTTCCTATAGGTTTGTTGTTGCACCATAGGCAAACTATATACATGAGAAGGAGTGGAATCCCTTGCATGTGCTCTAGGCGACGGTCACGTATCAATTTATTAATGTCCTGTGTTTTACTCTTCAGTACTCTATCGTTATGGACACCTGTCATTTTTCTTATAGCATTTTCTTCAAGTTGCCGCATAGAATCTGCACTTAATTGAGCCAATTCTACTATTTTGTTTAATTGACTTGTTTTTAGATTTGAAACACCAAGCTTCCAAGGTCGAGTTGTCGTTAGGATAACACAATTATCACGTACATACCGATGTGGGATGTGTTCTGTTACTTCGCTACAACTATTATCAGGGTGAGTCCATTCATCAAGACCGTCCAATATAATCAAACATTTTTCTCTACGTAAAACTTCATCGAGTGATGCTGATGAAGGAAGTTTCTTAGTAATTTGCTGTTCAATCATATCGTCAATTTTACAAACAGAGGTACAGTGTCTCAATAAAATCAAAAATATGAACTCAAAGTCAAATAACGTTTTCAACTCGTCGTCTTTAAAACAGGCGTAGTTGTCATCGTGACAATGAGCTTGGCACCATGTGATTGCAAGGTATTTTGAGAAAGCAGTTTTTCCAAAGCCTGCATCAGCTGATACATACATTTCTTGTTGATCTAGACTTCCAAATGAAAACAGGTTCCTCAAAGACTTGACGGGTATTCTCTCCTCTTCATTGGAAGTTAGGGACTTCTGTTTTACGGCGACTATATCTGGCATCACGTAGAATCCAGCTAAAGGTGTCTCTACTTCTTCAAGAAGCGGTGAGAGAGGTATTGAACTACATCTTTGTCTATAAAATTTTATCAGGTCGCCTTGAAGTTCTGAAAAGAGAGAGAAAAATAATTTTCAGTGACGCATCTTTCTATATGATATAAGTACAGAGAAAATTCAGGTGCTGACAAACTTCAATGTTGCATATTTAAGATAGGCTTTGTACATGATACCGAAGAAATAAATATGTAAATTAATATGACATTTATATGTGTCACAGTTATATTTAGTTGACAGTATATGTTTGATGGTTATATGAGTGTTGTAACCATACAACAAACGGTTAGTTTACAGTCGTCGGTTTCAGGTAACAAAGTACATGTATACTTATCAGTATACATGTATAATACATTGTTTGTTTGATACTTAACATTTTCTTTCTCCGTTTATTTAATCAAAACATAAGAACTGTATTTGATAATATTAATTTAAATGTGTTCTTAAAAATCAACAACAAATGAAAAAAAAAAAAAAAAAAAAAAAAACACACACAAGTTATTTGGTTATGAACATATTGCATATCTACCGCACCACAGTTTGAATTTGTGACAAAGTTTCGTATTGTCCCGGATAAAAACGTTTTGACTTGGAAATACCTCGCGATTTTATTTAGGTACAGTTTGGGGGCTATCATGTTAAGGTCTTAGCAGAGTGATCTACTTTGCCGACGGTGTTAGTCAGACTGGAAATATATGGACCTAATAATAAACTTGTCATACTTACTAGTTTATAAAATGCTAGTGAAAATAATCAAATAATTAACGATACTAGTATGTTTATTCGCAGGACATATCAGCTTTGTCTATCACATTTGATTTTTTCAAGAAATAATAAGAAGTTCAGGAAAATACATGTATATGTAGAAAGAAATATATGATGAAATATGACAGTATAAGAAATACGCTACAGCGTCTGCAGAGCAAACCTCTGGAAGTAAAAGATCTTTAGACTGTTGTAGTAACGAGGTAGTTGCTCAACAGTCGGCCACTGTGTATAGATTTCAATTTAAAAATGTACTCATTAGTTACATTATTATATACCAAACGATTTGTTCTTGCAAACTTTCTCCCCACTTTTTGGAATCGAGGATGTAAACAAAGGAGGGAGGGGAGTGTGCGGACGAGCTTATAAAGACATTCTTCCTTATATACATAATATAGAATTGTAATTTTGCTTTGTATTTCTCTCTTAATATTTGTATTTAATTGCCTTAACAAAACTAAGAACGATAACACATGTATAACAATTGTTATCAAGGAGAGAAAATGAAACAAGAGGGCCATGATGGCACTGAGTCGCTCACCAGAAACAACTGTTTTTTCAGTGTTATTTATGAAAGACCAGTCCAGCTCAACTTTTACTTACCCTTCTAATTATTGAAATATTTTGCTCTAATATTTTGGAGGCTTTATCAAAATATCTATATTGCAAGTGTGTTCCCATGAGATTATGAAGAATAAAATAATGCAGAATAAACAGGTCTAGGATTTTATGATATTTACGGACAGTCTTTAAATTTTTGGACGAGTCATAATTTAACAGATTTTTGTTTCTGTAAATTTACAGACATTAAGTAAGAAAATAGTAGAAGTTGCATTACAATTCAAAACCACAGGTTAAAATTTATAAGGTTACATACTATATGATTAAATGTAACAGTATGGTAATATTCAAAACAATATGATGATTTTCAATGAAATCCTAGACCTGATAAATGACCACTACATCAGGGTTAATTTTGGTGGAACATTTTTTCTTTATAACTTTTGTGAATGAATACAAAAAATGTCACATGCAAAATATGTAAGGTGTTTACAGTATGGGACAACAAACTTTTTATTTGAGGGCAAAGTCGTGCCCAATCGGTAAAATTATGGAACTTTGGTAGACAATACAAACAATCGAGTTACCTTCCACGCCTGGATCGTAGCCAAGCTAGGAATTGCTTACTTCTTCTAGTTATAAATTACACTGACATGGCGCCCAACTGTCAAGCCTGACACACTAGTTCCGAACTTCCGTCACCTCCCGTAACCAGTACCATACGGTACTACAAAACTCTAAAGTGTGTGGATCCCGAAGTGAATGGATTGTCTTTATTTTCAGTTATACAAACTGTGCATTTATTTATTTATTACCATCAATTCATACCGCAACCAAAAATTGCTTTCAGAAAAACTCGCTTTGGAGCATTATTTATCATTTTGCTTGGATTTCTCAGTTGTTTCAGCATTCGCCGATTGATTTGGTTGGGAAACCTCATTTGGTATAGGCGCAGAGTTGTTTACGGTAAATTCTGTCGGCCCATAAACGTAAACATTGTCTTTATTGAAGAATGAAGTCAATCTTCACTGCTTTTTTTCGAAGCTTTACTCGGATAATGACGTCAGAATCTGAAGCGTCTGAGCGTTTTTAACGTGTAATATTCACTAAAGCGTCTAAGATAAATCATGTGACCGATCAGCTGATGAAATTCATGTTATTTATAGAAAAAAATATATACAACGACGCTCGCAAAAATATGCGTCACGGAAAACGCACGGCTATGATATTACCGCGTCAAATGAAAAAGTACTGCGTCAAAAACGCAGAAAAAGCTTTCTAGAGAAAACACTGCATGTAGTGATGTAATTAAGTGAATACGATAAAACCAAAAAAAGCTCGATACTAAGTCCTTATATATCCAAGTTATTTCATAAGAGGTCATGACCTCAAATAATTTCGTCAGCAAACAGCAGGCCATTCACATGTATGAAAGAAATTCCAACATGAGTTGTTTCCCTTTCATTAAACTCTAATTTGAAGAAATGCCATGGTCTGTGGTATCTTAGCTTTAGCAGTCCCTAAAAGGGACCAATCAAATAAATATGAGCAATTTTTATAAAACATTACTAAAGTATAAGAATGCTAATAACAAAGTTTGGTGATCATCCATCAATGAGTTCTGTAGAAAAAGCTGTCTAAAGGTTTATATTATTTTTAGCTCCCTTGACCCCTAAAAGGGGCCTATCAAATAAATATGAGCAAATTTGATAAAAGACTACCTAAGAATGCTACAGACAAAGTTTGGTGATCATCCATCAATTGGTTCTGTAGAAGGAGATGTCTAAAGGATTTTCTATTTTTAGGTCTAGAGACCCCTAAAAGGGTCCAATCAAATTATATGAGCAAATTTGATAAAGAACTACTCAAGAATGCTACAGACAAAGTTTGGTGATCATCCATTTATTAGTTCTCTAAATATAGATATTTAAAGTAATTTCTATGTTTAGCTTTAGCAGCCCCTAAAAAGGGCCAATCAAATTAATATGAGCAAACTTGATAAAAGACTACCCAAGAATGATAGAGACAAAGTTTGGTGATCATCCATCCATTAGTTCTGTAGAAGAAGATGTCCAAATGTTTTTTTTCTATTTTTTGCCCTATTGACCCCTAAAAGGGGCCAATCAAATAAATATGAGCAAACTTGATAAATGACTACCCAAGACTGCTACAGACAAAGTCTTGTGATCATCCATCAATTAGTTCTGTAGCAGTAGATGTTTAAAGGTTTTCTATTTTTATCTCTGTTGACCCCTAAAAGGGGCCAATTGAAATGACATGAGCAAATTAAGTGTGACTGTCACAAGGATGTGACAGACCAAATTTGAAGTAAATCTTTCCAGCGGTTTCAGAGAAGCAGATGATTGTTGACGCATGACGACGGACGCCGGAGTATCCCCCTTTGATACTAATAGCTCACCCTGAGCCTTCGGCTCTGGTGAGCTAATAACAAGGGGAAATAAATGCTCAATACATGAACTAATTCCTCTTGATTTCTCAAAAAATAGAAACAAAGAACCATGAATAGTTTACTATATTTTGAATCATCATTTTGTCATTAATGGTGATGATGTTGTTACTATCGTTTGTGGTGTTATTAAAACCGAATAAATATACCTTCACCGCTTTGATAATATTTACTTTATTGACAATACTAGTACTTGCATGTACTTACAGTAGTTTATCAAGATACACAACGACCCAAAGTTGTCATTATTATGAAATTCTACGTTACTAAGTTATAAAGTTAGCCTACAAAAGATCTATAGTTCTTACAAAATCACCTTCCCAACATCTCCTTTTCTTCTCAAGCCACCTGTTAGCTTGAACTCAAGCAAAGACTAAACTTTGACTTTTTTCAGCTTCATATATAAATCAAGTTTGATATAGTAAAGTTATATTTAATCGAAACCGTTAATAAAAGTGAATTATAATAACACATGTATAACATAGTAATCCATATATACGTATATGAAACAATCAACTACAGTATATTGAATTAAAGCTAAAGTGATAACAATAAATTGTCTTCTGCTATCACTTAGGTGACAAAAGAACATTCGGTTAAGACATTTTTCAAAACTAAAGTTTTTCCCAATCTTACTACTATGTTTACCTTTTAGGCCTAATTGTTCCGGAATTTCATTCACTTAACACATTTTCAAGGGATTATTTGGAAATATGTCACCTGTCTCCGTGGGAGGTCTATACAACAAGTATTAAGATATAGAACATGTCCTATCCAGTAAAATTTAATGTATTAATCCAACCGCCCATTGAGGCCTTTTCTGATGGTGTTTTTCCTTCAAAGTTTGAAAATATCTTGGAGTTTAAAAGGCAAAAACACCATCCTATAGACCGGCACCATGTTTTAAATATTTGTATTTGATCAACATTAAAGCTGCTTGCCCATAGATTGCTTAACACTTGTAATTACCAGGAACTAACTCTAACTCCTACAAAAGCGACTTTCTTGTAACAAATATGTTCAGTATTCTCTCCTACTGTTTGTCAAACACATACTTACGGACTTACGCTCGAAATTTTCTTAGTTTTCAAAGGATTAATATTGTAGTAATACATACTATAGTAAGGAATACACAACAAAACAATAACAACAAAATATTGTTAAGGAATGGAACGGAAATGGAAAACATGACTGTAGCAATAGCTTGATTTTTTTTCTCCGCGAAATGTCAAGCTGTTAACAAAGTACTGTCAAACTGGTAAGTAAGGACCATCCAAAGAAAGAACATGCATGTTCTTATAGACACAAGGAATGTACTTTTTTAATGAAAAAAACTGGCAAAAGATGGTTTTAATTTACAGTGTAGTCTTAAATCGGAGGTTGTCTCAGTCTAATAAAGGTTTGACTGTATCTCAATTCTGGAAAACAACATGCATAATGTATTTAAGTAAAATCTTACTTGTTTTCATCCAGTTATAACGTCTCCTCTCTAAAAACCTCTGGAAAATGTTTCCATTCATCTGTCTGTCCTGCCTTGTTTCGTCTGAAGGATAATTGAAACATAAAATCTTTTATCACATCAGTTCTAAGGATAATGATAAACACTTTCAAAGAATAAAAATAGCCTTTTTCCAGGATTTTGGAAACATGGCACAAACCCATGAAATTTGGAATTTTAGCGATGTTTTTCTTGAAAATTAGGAAAAAAATACATGACAAATTAATACATATAACTTAATCACTTTGGGAGTATGACCCAATATCGGCAATGAATAAGCCAAACGATCTCTGTTAAGAAGTTACCACTAGCATGTGCTGTTTGTTATAAGTAACCATTAAAGTGTGATATATAATAACAGTAAACATAAAAGTGTGCTGCGTGATAATTGTAACCATAAACATATGATGTCTGATAACAGTTACAATAAAAGTGTAATGTATGATAACAGTAACCATAAAAGTATGCTGTCTGATAACAGTTACCATAAACGTGTGATGTATGATATCAGTAACCGTAAACGTGTGATGTATGATATTAACAGTAATTGTTACCGAGTCTGCAATTTTTGTGGGATCACCCCCATTTCAGACGCGTAAATATATAATTGTTAATATACATATCTTCGATAAATGGTTTTGAATAACACTTTTCGGTTGTTTAGTAAATCGGGGCTTTGACGGGCAACAAAGATTCCCAAGAAATTTTGCAGCATAAAACATTTGTAGAACTAGTCATCTTACCGTGTTAGACACGAATTATTCACAACTTATATCGACACAGCTTCATGTCGCAGTCGTATTTGAAACCTGTGACAGTTATCTGGCAAATTATTTGACCGGCAGTGGACGCCCTTGCCACCTTATTCGATGCCACTTAATCTCGAAATATTGGAGCAAGAAGGACGCTATCAACTAAACACTCCGAGGAAGGTGACATGTACTGACGACAGACAATGAGCATCGTTTTACTTAATATGATGGTTGTGCAAAATTAACTTACCCTTCCTATGATTTTGATATATTCCCTCCTTTGTTTTTACTGATGAATCGGTTTCGTTATTTTTCTCTGTTATGAAATACAAAATATTCAATAATTTGTTGTAATAAGTCACTTTATTTTTTTTTTTTAAAATTCTCAATATAATTGGCCAAATGTAGGAAATTTCAATAGTTTGACTGCAAAGTTCATGTTAAATGTTGACTTCTGCTTAAGCCGGTGCTAGAGGGCGTGGACGGTAGTTTGCACTTGACAGTACCGTCCATGGACAGGCTCAATCAAACCGAGCCTGCAACATTTTCAATTTTGCCGTGTTGGGCTTTCTTTAGGGATTCTTATTTTCTCTATTTTATCACCACATCAGCGTTGTTTGTGCCGTATGCAGGCTGTAAAAAGTCGCCCCGTACATTCAATCAGAGATGTTATATTTCCGAACCTTAAAGATCGTTCAGCACGACATAATTGTTGTGCTTGAGGTAATTTAGTTCTTTCTACTAGGCTTTTTTCTTGGTGGGTGGTTCCAGTATTCCTCACTTGAATACTGTTGAATCACCCCTAAGATATGTGGTCAAAAATAATCGAGTTGATAGGAATTAGAAATGTCAGGATTAAAACACAAAGGAAGTTCATGTTGGTAATTGCAGATTTATAGAACACATTTAAAGAATTATTGCTATTGACATGAAACTTGAAATCTGATAAAGTTTCAAAGCATTTGTTTGTATTCTAGTATATTATTTTCTCAGTCTTTCTTAAGATATCTCAATAATGTAGAATTCATGTAGCAATAAAATATTTAAGCTTAAAACATAACAAACCTCTCCCGTTTCGTCTTTTAATATCATCAATGTCTCTCTTCACATCCGTTACATTTTCTTTTACGTCTTCAAGGTCTTTCTTCACCTCAGTTACATTTTCTTTTATGTCTTCAAAGTTTCTATTCAGTGCAGTATCATTTTCTTTTGCGCCTTCAATGTCTTTCTTCACTTCAGTAACAATTTCCTTTATACCTTCAAGGTCTCTCTTCATCGCAATATAATTTTCTTTTACGTCTTCAATGTCTTTCGTCGCATCAGATATATTTGCTTTTAAGTCTTCAAAGTCTTTCTTCACTTCAGTTTCTATTTGCTTTATGTTTTCAAGGTCTCTTTTCACTTCAGTATTATTTTCTTTTACGTCTTCTATGTCTTTCTTCACGTTTATTACATTTTCTTTTATGCCTTCAAGGTCTTCCTTCACGTCAGTTACATTTGCCCTCACGTCTTTTATTTCCTGTTTCAATTGGTCAACATCGTCTTCACAGTCCTTCCACTTTTTTATTTCTTTTTGTATCCTTCTCTCTTCTTCCAGATCCAGAGGGCAAGTTTTGAATTCGGCAATTGTTTGCTGAATATTCAATGCAGAAGAGCTTCGACGAACAAGTATCTAAAACCGGAATTAAAAAAAAATTAAATTTATCATTTAAGTTCCAATGTTTTATTTTAATAAGTGTTTATCGAAGATGTTGACCCAACAATTTAACTGTTTATAAAAGTATAATACTTGAAAAACAAAATGTGCTGAATAAGAGTCATAATGACTCTAATTACAGACGCTCTTGATGACAAGGGAAAATTAACAATGTTTACTATCAATGAAAAAAATTAAGTCTTTAACTTTTACTGATATCACAAAGGTCATATCTGCATCTGAAATCGTGCAAATTCAAAAACAAAAAAAAAAAAAAAAAAAACGTTTTCGGGTTGTTATTGCTGAGGAAAATTGTAAGTAATTGAAAAATTTACTGTTGGCTATACAAAACTATTGGTATCTTTGGAAGTTAGTGGTTTCTATGAAAGTCAATGTTTGATTCCTAAATAAAAAAACTATAGTTTCTATGGAAAGTTTTTTGTTTTTTTTTTTTCTTTTGAGGCCCCTTCTGGGTAACCCCGTTTATTTACCCCGTAATAGGTATGAGGGGGTCGGGGTCATCCTCCATCATACCTTACATTGTTAATATACAATATACATGTTGCAAAATAATTATATTCATGTAAATATTGTCAAATACATCTACAGTATATATTTTGCATATAAATATAAACAACATGCATACAATAAACTCATCTATTTTCCAAAAATATTTTACCAATAAAAATTACTACTTATTAATAAACAATTAAACAATCTGTTACGAGGTAAAGTTTTGTTTCACATATTAAGTGTAGTTTAAGCAATTAAGGATCTTATAATTGACCATCTATTATTTTCATCATCTGTCAAATGTGTATTTCTATAGATATTCCATGCTAATTTCAAACTATTTTTAAAACCAATACATGTAGGTAAAAAGTTTTTTCTCTTAGACAAATAAATATATCTTTTCAATTCTAGAAACAATATGTCATATTTAAAATCTTTATTTTCTGTACCTAATATGAATGATTTACAACAAAGAACATCGTCAAAATTATGTAAGTTTTCTCTAAGGTATTGAAATAGGCTTTCTATGGAAAGTTAATGGTAGCTAAGATATAAAATGGTTCCTATGGAAATATAAAAAGTCACTGTATGCTATTGGAAACAATGAATGCAAGTGGAGTAAATGGCGTCTTTAAAAATTGCAGGTTGATAAAAATTAATTTGTTCTTTGGAATCACTGCTTGCTTACTTTTACATCAATAATTTAAGACAATTACAGTTGCTTATAAACACAAGTTTTGTTTATGAAAGAGAACGGCTGATGTGGAATTGTCTTGTTGCTAATGAATGTTAATTGTCGTATTTGAAGTCACTGGTTACTCTGTAAAGTCAGTGATGCCTTATGAACTCACTAACTACCATTGAAAGTCAATTGCTGATACAGAAATAACTGGTTTGCTATGAAAGTTACCAGTTGCTATGGAAGACAATGGTTGCTATCAAAGTCACTGATGTCTGTAAAGTAACGATTGTTTATCAACCGGTTGCCCAAGTAAGAAAAATCCGTGACGCCCGAGGCGTGGCAAGTTTAACACCAGAGACGCCTTCTAAACTATGTTTCCTGTACAATATCTAACCTCATTGATGCACTCAAAGTACAAGAAAACCTAAAAATTGTAATTCGGGAATCTGAAATATTGGATCACTGATTGTACTGAAAAACCTGAAAATTGGAAGCACCGTAATTACTAGTAACATCAAAATTTGGTAGCATTGAAAGTTCTTAAAACCTGAAAATAGTGAACAACTCAAAGTATTGCTCAACCTAAAAACTGTGACGCACTGTAGATACGAGAAATCCTTAAATCGTGATATTTTAAGTACTTGAATCCTGAAAATTGGGAAGCACTGAATGAACGGGAAACCTGAAAATTGTTAAACTCTATAAAGCATTGAAATTTACCGAAAATTGTGACGCACTGAAATAATTGGAACTTGAAAATTGTTCAGGAATGGAATAACTGATACTTGTAAACTGTAACACACTGAATTAACTGGAAGTCGATATTTAGTAAAACATTGAAAGTACAAGACACGTGAAAATCGTGAAACACTGAAAATGCTTGACACCTGAACTCGTGAAACACTGAAAGTATATGACACATGTAATCGTGAAACACTGAAAGTATTTGACACCTGAAAATCGTGAAACACTGAAAGCACTTGACACCTGGAAATCGTGACGTACTTAAAATACTGATACTTGAAACTCGTAAACACTGAAAGTACTTTACTCATAAAAATCGTGAAACACTGAAAGAACTTGGCACCTAGCGCCTGAAAAACGTTAAACACTGAAAGTACTTGACACACCTGAAAATCTTTAAACACTGAAAGCACTTGACACCTGAAAATTGTGACGCTCTTAAAGTACTGATACTTGAAAATCGTAATTGTTTAAGTCTAAATGCACCGAGTGTTCGCAGAGATAACTCATAATCATTCACACAGATTTCCAAAGTTTACAAAAATATTTGAATAGAGGAACTCCATTGAGGAGGTTAAATCTAAAATATAAAATTTGAAATTATTCCATAGATCAAATGTCTCTCTTGGGAAATTGGAAATGCTTGATTGAAATGCTATGCTTGTTTCGACGTACATGTAGCGTCAAACATTTATACGTATACATGTTTGACGCTATACGTTTATAAGGATTATTTCATTACATTTGAATTTAATGTCCCATTAAATGTTTACATTTTTAAGAATAAATTACTTACCGTATAAAGTACTCTTTAAACATTTAAAAATGAATATAAAGGTTACAAAATAATAATAATATGACAGCGAAATGTGCCCACCTGTTCAATATCATTCCACCAAGCTGTAAAATCATTTTGTTGTATTGCAGTCGTTGTTGATATATGACTTATCTGAAATAAAAACTCAATATGATTCACCTGAAATAAGAGCTCAAATAACCAAATCATAAGTAACAAAAGCTAACCCCACCCTTCTATCCGTCTCCAAACAACCTACTGCCCCTTCCTAAACAAAACAACCAACAACAACACACACCGTTTTGTCACGGCAAGCATTGATATTTTTTTTAAATGAAAGAAATGCAGATTTGTTGTACTCATAAATTAACGACCCCTTTTACGTTTGCAGTAACGTTTGCAGTAATAAGAACGATAAAATATGCCAAATTTGTTTATACGTGTTTTAGTTATACAGATTTTGTTTTCGGCAAAATGCGGAGTATCAAACCAAAAGAGTACAAAATTGTTATGCCTTAGGGTCAGGGTAACAGAATCTTACCTTATTTAAAAGTACTTGTATTAGCAGTAAACTTGACTTGTTCAATAATAATGATGTGAGCTGTATTCAAACCATGTTTTCCCATTTTCTTTATTGTTGATAGTAACCAAACATAAAATAGTACACATACGTGTAGATCAACATAGTTTAAAATAGTGATGGAAATCAGATAAAATTTGTTCAAATCGATCACCGGTTCAATCGGATGGGACATAATCGATAACTTTTCGAATAAAGTCGCGTCAAAAAGAAATAGGAAAGTAACATTTCTTCCCAAGGAAGTTGATTATATTCAGTAACATGAACTTCATTTAGCACTTTTCAACACAGTTTTAGTTTAAACGCTATATATTCATAAATTTACGAAATAGATTTTATTTTTCAATGGATGGCAAATAATAAAATTCACATCACACTAAATGACTATTGTTTACACCACGTATTGATCCTGTTCAAATCCAAACTGTCTCTGATATGATTGTTTTGCGATCGGCGAGGTGTTCCTAAAAGAAAATTATCGTCAGAATTAATTTCTTTTGATACTTAAAACATATTCGACGACGTCGCGGAACACATTTTTGTGAATCGATTATTGGCCATTTACATAATAGTAAATGATTGTCGGCGACTTGCGACAATCGGAACATCACTACTTTAAACAACCTATCACGTATTATACAGTTTTATGCTCGTTAACTTTAATCCAAACGTGTTCTGTTGTATCCGGCATACTGTATCCGGTAACTGTTCCTCACACAGATTTGCTGATTTGAGCATGTAAGTCTTTATGAATTATTATTTATTGTATGTAAAACTCGAGACTTTTTATTGATTGATTTTAATAACTATCGGCACTTTAATCCTTCTAAATATTGCACAATTTACGATTATTGTATTACAGAAGAAGCCATTTTGTAGACATGCATTATAGGAGTGTTTACATGGTAACCGTTAGCAGTCGATATCGTTGTCGTCTACAAAATGTTTGAACGCAACAGAAGTGCGAAATGGAACCTAATGGTACTGATTTTAATGTAATTTAATGTTTTATCTTTCTGTTTATATATTATAGTAAAGTTTCACATGTAAAAATGACTCAATGACCAATTTTCAGTATCTTGATCAATGTGACCAAATATTTTGGTAACTGTGACCAGACGAAAATGGTCACTGAACATTTATTTATGGTAAATTACCAAATTGACCTGTTTTACCATTTTTGTTGGTCAATTTTCTTGATTTAGTATAAAAGGGCCGAACTTTGGTAATCTTGGTCAGAATCTGCTAGTAAATTGTACCATAAGCCTGTTTTGCTTGTCATGAGACGCTAACATGGAAAAAGCTCTTTACACTATTAATGAAAGCAACATTATTATATACATAATTATATAAATATACCGATTTACAATTTAAAGATTTAAAAATACCTTTTATCTCTAGAAAGATCGTTTTAAGAAATACCAGAACTGTTTCAAGCCTTATATTTACTTCTCTGAGATGTGCATATTTTTGGGACTTTTATAAAATCTTCTTTGATTATTAGTCTAAGCTAAACAAGCTGAGTTAATAATAAGTCTTGTGAATGGTTGAATTTAACATACATTTAAGTACACTTGTGAATTGCTAGAGTTCTGAAAGCTATATATATATGCTATATATTTTATGTGTGACATGATTATTTGCTGATATGTATATGATGCAACTGTGTTGAAATTATTATTTATTAAACTTATTAACTGTTTAATAAAGCGTTTTATTGTGTGATGAATAACTGGAAAAGAGTATTACTTTATGTCGAGCCATCCAATTAAGGTAATTCAATTCATAAAAAGGCCCTGCCTAACTCTTAGAGATTAGTTTGCGGACTAAATAAGCCACCCTGACAAGCCTAACCCTAACCAGGATCCTAAGATGCGAACATAGAGCCAATGAATATCAGAGCGAACATAAAGTGAGAGCAGTTGACAGTCGAGGCGAAATCTACTTTCGACTCACAGCGAATGAAGAAGATACTGATACGGCATATAAGCAAAATAATGAAACAGATGGTGAAGGAGTGGCTGATGAATCATTTCATACAATTGACCGAGCAGATACAAGGGTTTACTCATCACCAGATAATGAAAACAGAGAGCAAAGAGCCATTGAACAGGTGAACAGTATGATGAGAGATGTTACTGGGGTACTTAAAGATGTGGTCCTTGAGATTAAAAATTTGAGCCAGAGACAGAATATACCAAGAGACTTGCCATCAGAACCTCGCAGAACAGCAATTGATAGTAATACCGATCGATGCTATAGATATGCTCAAGACTTTCATTTTGTTGATCAAAATGACAATAACAGATATGAAGCCTACACGGTTGAGGACCAGTACAATGAAATAGGTGATAGCGGGCCAGTTAACAATGATGAAAGAAGTGATCAACCAAGACATAGGTATAGGAGGAGATTTATACCCCAATCAATGCAGCTAAAAAGTCGAGTGCCAAGGTATGCGGATGTTAAGATTCCACCTTTTACAGGCAAGGAGGACTGGACTGTCTGGTCTTCAAAGTTTAAGGCGATGGCCTACAGGTACGGTTTGAGTGAAGAAGAATAACTTGACAACCTAATTCCAAGGATAGAAGAACAAGCAACTGAATTTGTCTTCTCCCACTTACCAACTGAAATCCTTAATGATTACTATGAATAAGAGTCAGAGTTTACTCGGCGATATAGGGTAATTGAGACAAGGCGATAATTTGCAGCAAAATTCACCAGGAGAAATCAAAGACATGGCAATACCGCAGAAGAATATGCTGCAGATCTAAAGCGTCTTTATGGAAAATCCTACTGTCACAGGGACAGACGCATTCGTGATGAAGATTTGGTGAGAAAATTCTTAGATGGACTTCTTGATCAAGACACTAAATTTGAAGTTTAATATCATAAAGAACCGAAAGACATAGACGAAGCAGTTTACCATGTCGTAAATCTAATTCAGACTAAAGGTGGCAGTAGGCATGATAGACAAGGTAGGCACAGTGCGAGACGGGCTTATGAAAATCAGAGGGAAGATTCAAGAGATAGGTCAAATGAAAGGTCTAACTACATTGGAAGCAGTATTAACAGAATACCAGAACAATGTGAAAAGTCAGCGAAAAGTCATGAAAGTACCGAAAAATTAGACGCGATGAGCCAAGAAGATTTATTGCGTAAATACTTTCGAGAAGCTAGAGGAGGACATGAGCAATGGTAACCATGAAAGAAAAAGTTTGAAAGAAATGGAATGTTTCAACTGTCACGAGAAGGGTCAATATGCTAGAGCATGTCCAAACAGATGAACATGCTGACTACATTATAGAAGTGACCGATGAATTTAAACCGCAGTATTAATTGGCTATGGCAGCTACACTAGTCAACATCAATAAAACTACCACAAACAAAATTAGAGTTTTGAATCCCAATTCTACAGAAAAACATTTAAGACAAAATGCATTGGTAGGTAGAGCTGAGAAAATTGAGGCCATTACAAAAGTTATAACAGTGAAAGAGCATGCAGACGAGGAAGACAATGTCAACCAAGTGAGACGAGTTCAGACCGAAGAAACGAGTACAGTCAAACCTGACCTTCCTTTCGAACTTGCGAAAAGTAACGAGATTCCTTTTCATCTACAGGACTTGTTCGAAAAGTCTGTTAATGATAAATCAGAATATGAAAAACAAGTCATTGCAGGTTTGCTTGTAAAATATGATGAGGTATTTTCGAAGCATGAATGGGATTTAGGATTAACAAATCTTGCTGAGCATTCTATCAATACAGGCGATGCAGTCCCGATAAAACATAGACCCAGGCGTGTGCTACTAGCCTACGCTGAAAAAGGGCTATTGAAGATATTCTTTAGAAAGGTGTAATCAGAAAAAGTGCTTCGCCATGGACATCACCAGTGGTATTGGTCAAGAAAATATCAGGAGCCATTCGCCAATGTGTGGATTAAAGACGTGTCAATGCACTCGTAAAGCCTGACGAATTTCCTTTGCCGAGGGTACAGTATTGTTTAGACACTGTTGCCGGATTTAAAGTTTATAGTAGTTTTGACCTAACGTGTGGGTATTTCCAGATTCCTTTGAAAAGTGAAGATATCCCAAATAGTGCATTCGGCTGTAAATTTGGTCATTACGAGATGACTAGGATGCCGTTTGGTATGAACAATGCCGCAAAAAGGTTCCAAAGAACTATGGAACTAGCCCTTCAGGGATTGCAATGGGAAACTTGTTAGGTTTACATTGACGTCATCATTTTATTTGGGCGCAATTTGGAAGAACAATTTTGTTCGTGTATGTCAAGTACTTGATAGAATAAAGAATGCAAGTATCAAGCTTAAGCCTGAGAGTGTTCTTTGTTACAAACCGAAGTTGTGTTTTTGTGATATATTATATCAGGGGAAGGGGTTCGTCCAGACCCAAATAATGTGTCAAAAATTGTCAATTGGCCTTTACCAACAAGTAAAGCATTTTTTTGCAACCGGGTCCTATTATAGACGGTTTTTAAGAAATTTCTCAACAATAGCAATTCCTGTGACAAAATTAACAAAAATAGGAAAATAACTTGTCTGGGTTGGTAGGTGTG